TCGTGTGTCACGATCATCGAGGTTCACAACAAGGGTGTTTTGTAAAATCGGTCTGGGGAGGAGCTGAGGAAAATGGCTAAACTTAGCCCAAAAGGCACTAAAACAGGTTTCTCCTTGGATTTAACTCACTTGCCTTTCAATCGTAAGAGCTGGGGGCGGCTGGACTGAATAGGAAACAACTGAAAAGGAAACCACGTCTCTGCTCAACTGCGTTTTTTCGCTTTGTCTCGTCAGAGCATGTTTCCGTCAGGCAGCGTAACGATTTTGTTTAGGGTGACGGTCGAAGCCAGCTTCTGTTTATCGACACAGGGCTTATGTAGCAGACAGGGCCGTTGCCATATGGCTTCAGATGTTGCCTCAGATGTACAGCTTCGGGATGCAGAGTGATGGTAGATGGGCGCTACTTCACGAGGCTGTCACAGAAGCCCCCGACCGCAGGACGCGCTGAACGCTGGCAAGCAGCTCTCGAGTCAAGTATGTTTGGCCCGCTAGCGTTGTTTTTGTGGCGGTCGTTGTCGGGCCATCGCTGCTATCTGTTAAGTCAGCGAATGCCAATCGTCAGGCTTTTGAAACTGTTTTATTGAACATCTATGCTGAAGCGATCGGTACATGTTGAGGGTGCTTTCGAACGTAGACAGGTAGCAGATCCGTCGCATTTTGGTGTGCTAGTATGCGGCCGGTTTGTTTTCATAATCAAATTTGCTTTCATTTCAATTTCATTTATCATAATGTTTTCATTCATTTTCATTCAGATTCACTGATAAGACCTAGCCTTGTTCGTTTCTATAGCCCATGAAAGACCGTCCAGGCAGAATAACATAGCTGTAGATGTAGAAACATCGCCGAATAATTTCACACAAAAAGACTAGACCGGAGTCGACATGAATTTTGTACATGACTTTGTACAAAAATAATGCACCATGCAGCAAAGACAGGAACTGATTAACTAAACGTGGAATAAGCACGGAGGTCTGAAACTTACAAGCTAAACTAGCTGTATTCTGCTGGGCAGGATACTGCAGTTTTCATTGTCTGTATATCCTCTATCCGTGAAACATCTCTTTGAAACCTAAATTTTTAACCGGTGATGGGGGGGGGACAAACTCACCGCGGGGGAGAGGTCGGACATTACGATGCCATTGCCCACCCAAAAGGATACAAATGGACATCCGCGTTAAACAGAGTTTCACATTTGTATAGAGTTTTGAACTGTAAAAGCCATCTTGAAGTTCGTTCAATGCGGTTCACAGTTCAGCCCTCCTTAAGACCCAAATCCTTTTAGTCTTTTGAGCTACACATCTGTGAAGATGTGCAGAGTATTTCGAGAAGACAATTTCAAGGTCAGCCATTCATCCACGGCGTCACAAAAAAGTCATTGAAATCCTGCCATCCTGATGGTCAGGCGGTGACAAAGGCCACGGAAAATATGATTGTCGAGTAATTGATATCTGGTATTCGGGGGCACGATTGAAAGACACAGCGGCTGTCAATTGGCTCTCAATGTTTTGCGAAGAACGATAACGCGATCAAATAATGACATATTGAGAAGCAAATTTACTAAACAGAGCAAATGTATTGTCGAGAGCAGTCTTCCACTGAAAAGCGTAATTATATTTATAAGTGAGCTTTTTCATCATACCTGATGCCTGCTGCAATATCAATGTAGAGCATTTCCTTCATAGGAAATAATCGATATTTGAAGACATTGAGGCAAGCACCCGATATCATGGAAAAGGCTCGCTTGTAACTACTGGCATGCTGGCAAAGTGCAAAAGTGCAAAAACTACCTCACATAACACAATTTCAATATTTACTTCAGATGCTCCTCGATATGTCATTGTTCGGTTAAGTCATGGAACGCTTTTTATGGCGTCAGTGTCGTTGCCAGACTGGCTGTGTCAGAACTGCCACTGTAGCGGATGGGTGCACTCATTTGCAGTACTTCAACTCGCCGTAAGGTGGCTTGCAAATTAATGCGTGTAAAAACTACTAACCTCATCTGCGCGCATGTTTGCCCTTTCCCCTGGCGTTCCGTGCGTTTTTTCTTACTTGCATTGGCATTTCGGTTACGGCGCTATTCTTAACTTATTCGATTCCTAATCTCGTGTCCTTCACAACTAACATAACTGCCTAAATGCCTGTATTACGTATCATAAAACGCTGCTCGTGATCGAGACCTGCATTTTACACGTCAGGCAGGCTAAAAGCCGGGTGATGTCTGTAAATGTGACAATTCGCGCTGACGTACTTCAGGTTCGAATAAGTCACTGGCCATCTTTGTATTGGCCTTGAACACACCGTGGCGTTGCGGAAGCGGAATTCGTCTAACATTTTTATGGCAGCATGCATCCCTGAGTGTCTTCAAATTAGACGGCGCTAGCTGGGGGCTTCATAGGGCTTAGGCTGGTTTGGCTGTTTACATCAACTACATCGATGAAGTTTGATTGAGCACCTGTAATAAGTGTCGAGAAAACACGCTTGTTTTGGCCCAGTTTGGTCAAAGTAGATTCGGCTCTATACGTTTGGTAGTGTTAACGACTTAATCTTTGCCAGTTTAAACCGCAGACCATTGCATTTTATACCGATTTCGAATAAGCGTGTCACTACCCACCTACCCTTGGACTACTGGTGTCGCTTTACGTCGGACGGTCTGCGCCCGCATGACAGTTTATGGATGGGCCTTTTCCTACGCCATGCAATTGCTTCCACGTCTTTATCTGCTCTGGTCGCGGAGACCTGGCATCGGTCCACGAGAATGCCCTGAAACCAGCGAATCAGTGGCCTGGTCTGGACCCGCATGGTTGGCCGCGCATGGCCAACTATACTTGCAGATGGGATTACCCGCACTCTGATGTGAAACGTTGCGTGCTTCGCCTCGAAGTCGGGCAGATTTGTCTGCGAGCACTCTGTACCCGTGCTGGCTTTAAAAAAAACCTATGCAATTTGCATGTTCATCCAACGGGAAAACTTGAGAGTCGATAACGTTGGAATGGTACAACTGAGTTGCGACTGGTCAAGCACCTTTGGTGCGGATGTCCAAAAATGATATGCGAAGATTATGGTGCAACCTTTAAAGATTGGACATTCATGCTACTGAAATCCGTAATGTTATGCAATTTGGGGGTTTAAAACCGGCGATTTGCGCCGGCCAAGGTAGTAACTGGGCGGATCAGAACGCCATGACATCGTGCGGCGGCGTTACAGATTTTGAGTAACGGGTGGGGGAGGACAGGTTTATCTAGCGGGGCCTCCTGAGCAGAATGGGGCCTACTCATAATTGGGCCTTTTAGACACTTTGATATTCAAGTGGAGGAGCCCAGCAGGCATGTTCTCCCTCATTGAACAGGTACGTGCATCAATATCGATGTCAGAAGTATCGATGATTAAAGATCCAGAATAGGGATTTTCTGATTGGTACAGGTGTCTTCTTGATCCAACAAAGGGCCTCTCAGTTATAAAACATGGTTCCTCTGCCAGAACAGAGCTCTCTGATGGATAAAGGGGCCCCCTGTTTCAAGGAAGGATCCTCCCAGTTCACAAAGGGATTGCAAAATCCAGCAATGGATCTCGTTATCCTAAAACAAGGGGCCCTAATCCGGAAATGCAGCTATCTGGTACGCAGGCTCGTAGCCAGATGGGGATACTTGGTGCCCGTGTATCCTCCGGGATGCGGGGTGTCCCCGATCTCGGTTCGTGCAGCCCCTGTGCTTAAGATATATGTTTCACAACGGTTTGATGGAACCCTTCCGTGCGTTGGGATCTGTAACAGTCGTATATACCGCATAGACAGATGGCGTCATATGTTTATGGAGGCAGGAAGGAGAACCGCCCCTCTACCCCCTCCCCCGCTGCGCCGCCCCTGAAAGCACCAACATTTCGGTTTGGGTGGGGTCAAGACCAGCTTACCCCGTGGCTCCACACTTAATAAGAAGAAAGGTAAAGCAGTTTGCCATCAGCCTACACAGGAACTTTCCTTTCATATCCTGGCAATATGGTATCGCACATATTTTAAGCATGGGTTATGCCATACTTACAACTGTCTTCCTGTTCTCATTTCGTAGGGCGCGATGACCAAGACAGTCCTTATGATTGCCTGCTTGAATGCGGGGAAAGCGAGAGAAAAGCATTCCTCCTCTGACTTCTTCAATCTAACTGTCTTTGGGCCAAAACCGTCACGACACGGGGGTTTATTGTCTGTCCAATACTAAGTAATCACGCATTATAAAACATCGACTTGGGAGAGCCGGAAGGCCCCACTACCCAGCGCAGCAGCAAAGCATCGCCCGCGTCGCTGGAAAGCGGCCGCTTTCCTATGAGCTATAAAGTTTATTGATGCCATTTCTTAGGCGTTGGATTGATTTCATTCGCCGCAAAGCCATTTTGGTTGCATTTTGTTACGCCTTTGATTCAGATACTTTTGGTTCACTCACACTCTAACGTGGATGCGAACTAACAACTTCACAGATCGCACTCAAGTTCGGGAGTGAAATCAGCCGCTTACAATAACGACAAACCAGTTAAGACATTCACTATTTTGTCGTCACCTTCTGTTACATAATTTCCACCGCAGTATAGCTAGTAACAACTTTGATAAATTCACCCTTGGCAGTAGCCACCGCTGGACTAGACGTCACTTAAACTTGGTGTCTAGTCCAGCGGTGGCTATTGCCATGTGCCAAAAATGGACCAAACACCACTGGAGATAGCACCATTGGATTAAATGCCACCGGACGAAACACCACTGGAGTTAACACCACTGAACGCATATAGCGAGATCGCAAGGTACATCGAGAGTCAACTGAAAAAGTTCCCGGTGTGTGCAGTCCGTCCGCTTGGTCGCATCCAACGGCCGTCCACATGTCATCCAGTGGGGCAGCGCTAAACGCGCGGGCTTTGGGCATTGTCAGCGTTCGGCCCATGGGCTCATCAGGCCACGACCGCGTCGACTGCCGGTCGGCTGCAGCGCCGGCGTCTCACCAGACCTGCGCTCCTCCCGCCAGTTACGAGGACGAGCGGCGCGAATCGACGCTCACCACCCGGCTCGTCTCACTGGTGGTCATCTTCGCCGAGGTCATCATCTACCACGGCCGTCTGAGCGAGCTGACGGCGCGGGTCGACTTCCTCTGGAAGCGGCAGGTGAGCGTAGCCATCGGCGGGGGCCCGCCGCCGCCCGCTCGCCGCTGCGCAGCCAGCGGCGGGGGCCCGCCGCTCCGCAGCCAGCAGCGGAGACCCGCCGCCGCGCAGCCAGCAGCGGGGGCCCGCCGCCGTCCGCCCGCCGCAGCGCCGTCGGCCAGGCCGGAGACGGACCCGCGCGTTGGACGTGAGGCAGCTCCGGTCCAGGGTCGCAGCCGTGTTTGCTGTGCACTCCGCCGGCCGGGCAGAGTGCACTGTAGCCGCTTAGGTAATGGAGCTCGCACCTAGTTCAGCGCAGACGGGGGTCTTGTGTGGAGTGGGCGAACGCTGCCAACGCTGCCACGAGGACAGCTACACCTCACGTTCAGAGAAAACAGTACAGACAGAATTCAGAGATGTGAGGAAAACGGTGATCTGAGTGATCAGCCTAGCCGAGCCGTGTCCATTTCAACGAGACATTTTACATACGAGTGCTAGTTTGCACAGGCTTGCAATGCAATCATAGGCTAAGACAGACATCTCACCATCAGGGAACACGACATCAACAAGGATGGGCAAATGAACGTGTGACAGGAATCCGTACAAGATTGAAATTAGAACAAATTTTTGCAAGAATGGGGGTAAGACGTAATGACAAGATTGCTTTGAAGCTGGAAGGACGCATTATATTATGTTTGTAATAGCCAGCAGCCAGGACGTCATCACGGTGGGTGTGCCGTACACGGGCAGGCCGGGGCTGCACCACTGTGCGCGGCATCTCCAGACCCGTGGCTCTGATAACCCGGCGGATGCTGCTGATCAGCTGTTGATCCGGCGTGACCACCCAACCCCAGCGGTACTCCTGAAGTATTCTCGACCTTCCTGGCGTACGATGTGGCCAGCTACTGGAGGAGAACAAGTTTCTTCCTCCCGTGGTATGTCGGCGCCAAGTTTGGCTACAGCGCATGATCAGTGTCAGGTTATTTGCATACGAACGACATCAGTTTCGCCTTCATGCACACCTCGTCATCTCCTTCGGGAACCCTCCTTAGGGCGTGCACCTTACATAGTTTGACGTGTCGCCACCACGGCCAACCTGCAATGCGCATTGCTGCACATATTACTCCTGTATGTTGAAGTATTCTTCGCCGTCCAGTGTTTTCGTTTCTGACGGTTACCCAAGAACTAGCAACCAGGAGTGTCACTTTCACTATCACAGCGACGCAGTAAACCTTACATGAACACCAAACAACAGTTTTAGATGTTTACGGGTTTATAAACGAGCAAGTCGCGGTGCTGCCTGCTAAGAGATAGACACCGAAAACGTACAGGAAGCAGAGCATAGTCTCTTTTTCTCTGTCATTGTCTGCCTCCGCTTCTGTTTCTGTTTCTGTCTCTGTCTCTGTCTCTGTTCCTATCTCTGCCTCTGTCCCTATCTTTGTCTCAGTTTCTACCTCTGTCTCTGTCTCTGTCCCTGTCTCTGTATCTGCCTTTGTCTCTGTCTCAGCCTCTGTTTCTGTCTCTGTCACTGTCTCTGCCCCTGTCTCTGTCTCTGTCTCTGCCTCTGCCTCTGCCTCTGTCTCTCTCTGTCTCTGTCTCTGCCTCTGTCTCTGTCTCTGTCTCTGTCTCTGTCTCTGTCCTGTCTCTGTCTCTGTCTCTGTCTCTGTCTCTGTCTCTGGACCAGCCGGAGGCTCGAGTAACCAATGTGTCCTTGGGAATGGCAGCTTGACGGCAATCCTCAAGGGCATAGCTAGAACTCTCAGGGAGACACTCCACATGCAAGTCAAAGCTTTGCGATCGCTACAACGGTACGCTTCCTTGACGAGAGGAGGATATGGCGCGAATGTCTATTGGGTATATTTGTTTTTTATACGGTTTGGCATTCTATTTCCTCTTGGCCGAGGTTGAGCAGAGGACAGAAAGGACAAAAGCAGGTCAGATGGGATTAAAAAAAGTTCAAATGAGCTCACAGCATGGTTATGTGCATTCGAGCCATTTTTGTCGCTTTTTGTCGAGGATTCGTTTGTCGCCCTTTTGATGCAGTTTAAAATGCTTCTTTTTTGCATTGAGCCTCAACCGCATCATATTATTCCGCTGTGGCCAAATGGCACACCATCTAAATATGGTGGTATAAGATGAGGTATCAACATAGTCGGAAAGAGCCGAGGTCTTTGCTTCGAGCGTCCAAGCCGGGGCTTATGTCCATTTTTATGACACCTTGCAAGCAACGACAGGGCAAAAATGAAGCAACTACCGAATGTTAAGCTTTTTGTGCGCTGAAAAAGCGTACCTGAATTTGACAAAAACGATGCCACTGAACCTACTGTGAACCGGAGAACCAGACCAGACCTGAACAGAATTACTTTAAAGGAGGGTCAGTTTTATCGCTGGCCTCAGCTTGTGAGGTATAAGACTTGTTTCAAAGAGTGTTATCAAGATGTTCCAAAAATATACGTATTATACAATCCATTAAAATTGAAAGAAACGAGAAAAAAATGAACGCATTGAATTGTTTTCAAGATGTTCAAAGAAAATACTCATTATGCAATAATCGGACAGAGAGATTGTGGCGGTGAATTGATATTATGTGTCAAATCTATAATTATCTTGTCGCATGTCATTCGTAATAGAGGATCCAAGACAAATGCTTGCAACACGTTCTGGCAGACCCAACTGACACCACTTGCAGCAAGCTGCAGTCGCAGTAGTTCTGTTCCTGCTACCAAGGAGGAGAGGGCAACCGGTCGCAAGCAGCACTGTAGCTTCTCGGTCAGCCGTCAGATTTAACCGTGACTCCACTTGTCACCAAGGACAAAGGGCTTTCAAGCTGTCTTGTTTTTCGAAGGTGTGCTCGCAGTTATAACAAGGGCGGTAGCTGTTTTGCGATGGCGTACGACGGACGCAGCAACGCACAAGCGTACAACGCGCAAGTGTACGACGCTCAAGTGTACGATGCGAAAGTGTACGACGCGCAAGTGTACGACGCAAAAGTGTACGACGCACAAGCGTACGACACACAAGTGTACGACTCGCAAGTGTACGACGCGCAAGCGTACGACGCGCAAGTGTACGACGCGCAAGTGTACTACACACAAGTGTACGACGCACAAGCGTGCGACGCACAAGTGTACGACGCACAAGTGTACGACGCGCAAGTGTACGACGCACATGTTCGCAGGAACACCCCAATACACCCTCGCGATGTGGAACTTTCACCTTCGCGCGTAGGATTGCCGGGTGTTCGTTATAAGTTAAGTTATATAGTTCGTTATAAGCTACACACTTATTAAAATCAAAGCTGTTTAGAATCACTCATTGTCGGGTAGGGAGTGGGCACCGGTTGGGGTTGATTGCGGAGGAAGTTGAGCACCGACTAGATTTGATTACGGGGGATCTGGGAGCACTTCGTCTCCTGTTGGTTGGGAAGTGAGCAACGGCCAGCTTTGATTGCGGAAGAGCTGGGAGCACCTTCGTCTCTTGTTGGGTGGGAAGTTGAGTATCAGTCAGCTGTTTGCGGGGGAGATGGGTGCACCTTTGCCTCTCGGTAGTGGGACCGAGAGTGCTGCAGCCGCAACGCGCTGCAGGCGCTAGACAGATGGATTTACTAGACCACGTTTGCGCCATTTGTCTTGGAGAGCTCGCTGCCAGGGACCTGCGACAAAAACACCGGAAAGTTAGATGCGCGTCGTGATCTTAACGCTACGAACTTTTTGCCCCCTGAAAGTTTGATCGCACTTCCCTGGACATCTGAGGTTTCCATTTGGCGCTTTACTGTGATCGTGCTGTTGCCATGGGTCTCAAACAAACTCTTGAGGCATTCTGTGAAATGGCCAGGGGTCCCTTCCTGGAAGAGGGTGAAAGAAGGGAATATGTGATCCTTTACCTAAGCTCATAGACACAAACACGCAAACGCGCGCACGCACGCACGCACGCACGAACGCACGCACGCACACACCAACGCGCACGCACGCATTCAAACAAACAAACAGTAGCTGTCATTGGACCATTTCAGTGGCAAGACCAGTTACAACGATGAGGTAGTGTTAGTTTCCTGAAACGATTTGTTTTACAACGGACACCTCAATGTTATAAAGATAGGGAGATGGCTGCTTTCTTCAAGCGCTTTGTGCTCTAATGGATGCTGTAGCTTTGACCTGAGTAATAAATTGAAAGTCGTTATGTTATGTTAACGACTTCAGGTATGCCAAGAGGCACTAAGCAAACGACGCTGTGATGCTAAATTACGGTATAAATTACGGTAATTACGGACAGCACTAAATATTTTGAGCAGTGCCTATCCTCAAGAGTGAATAAGATCATCTTCAGGGTGAGGACTGCTTAAGAGGAACTCTTTAAGATAAGCACTGCTTGAAATATTGAATACCGTCCACATGAACGTTGTTTAGAATTACAGCGTCCCTTAACCAGTACCTCCTGGTATGTCGAAGACCGTTGGCTCAACTTAAAAACTTTTTACACTAAATACCAGAAAACGAGGAGCTAAAGGTCTTTCTTTCTTACATAAATTGGGTAATGAGCCAGGCCTGGTAAGGTGAGAAATCCTTCACCGGCTTGTATTTGGGCAAAAACATTCTTAACCGCCCGAACCCGCAGCGAAGCGAAATTGGACTAAATTCATTCGGCCGTTGTTTTTGGGAACGTGACACATGTCATCGCACACCTTTTATGGAGCGCCGGAAACTACATTGGCCATATTAGCACTCAGGATCATGGCGCAATGTTGTGTATAAGTGTTGAACGGCATAACCTTTTACCGCCTTTTTCGCCATTTTGTATGGGCAGCGAATACAACATGGTAGATGTACCAGAGACTACACTAAGTTGGAGGCCTAGCAAGATATTTTATGATGGGGACTTAAAAATTATAAAAATGTTTTTAAAAATCGCAATCTGACAATCTTGAGGCACGTAGTCCGTGGTCCTTTCCAGATGTGCCTGTGCTGGGATCTCTTAACTGTCTGACGTTCCGTTGGCCATCCCACATACCTGGACTATATGTAGAGACCTTAGACCATCGCGGTGCCCAGAAATTCGTAAAATGACTGCCTTGAACTCCCAGCCTCCCGTGGCCTCCAGGTGCACGAGGAGCTGGTGACGATGACTGAGTCACGGGAAAACAACGCCCAGCTTCTGCACAACATCCTGCCCGGCCACGTGGTCAGCCACTTCCTCTCCGGCCAGAGGAGTCCGGACGTGAGTCAGTGTCGGCTCACGAGTCTCCGTGGCCGGGAGGGCCGAGTGACGTACATGACTCTGCGGCGCGTCTGCCCCCATCCGGCGTGTGCCAGGAAGCCGGGGCTGAGCGCCGCGCGCCTGTTCTGCGTACTCTCCATCATGTTCTCGGTCTGCCGGATCAGCCGAGCGTCTCTGTGGCACTGACCTGCCGTCTGGTGAAGACTGCGCCCTGCCCAGGCTGACACATTCGGTACATAAGTCAGTATCATGACGATTTAACAAACCAGCGCTGAATTCCCCAGGAGCTGTACTCAAGGCAGTACGAGTGTGTCGGAGTCCTGTTCGCCAGCATACCTAACTTTGGCAGTTTCTACAGCGAGGACATCAACAAGGGGCTCGAGTGCATCCGTGTGTTAAACGAGATCATAGGTAGGTGGCGAAGTGAACGCCTCCTGCATTCTATACTGCCTGGAAATATGGTGGGAGGAGGCTTCCAATGCTCGATATTCTCTAACGTTATCCTGTGTAGAACGACAGTGGGTTGGTGGAAGCGTTTAGTATATTTCTTATATTTTAATAGCTTCCGTGGTTAGTTTCGCTGTGCGCTATTTACGCGTAAACCCTGATGTATATATATATATATATATATATATATATATATATATATATATATATATATATATAAGGCTAATATTAAAACGAAGACTCAATCAAAAACTGTTCTAGGTTCTAGGCGTACACAGCAGATGAGCATAATCCGAACGTGTGAAAGGCATCCGAACTTTCTCTGCTTCATGTCCACGCATGACATGACTTGCTGCACCTTGAGATCTGGGGAAGTTTGTGTTTCGGTCTAAACATGCTAAGTTGTATTCGACATCGAAGGTGGCGAAACTATTGCAAATCTGTGGTCCTCATGCCATGAAATTGTTTTCAGTTGATTTCGACGAGATACTAGACAATGACAACTTCTTTTTTGTGGAAAAGATCAAAACGATTGGCAGCACATATATGGCAGCATCAGGATTGAATCCAGATTGGGAGGTAAGCTTTCCCTAACCTCGCGTTGGCTTTTCATTTCGGCGTGGTAAATGCTGGCACGAACTCTGTTTCATTTTCTGCATCTTATGAGAACCAGTTTCATCTTCTGCATGTTATGAGAACCACTCATGTCACTGGTCTAGGGACTCGCCCGATCCCACTGAATGCCTACATAACTGATGGGAAGGCAGGTATCGCAGGTATGGTATCGTACCTGGTATCATAGATACCACAGGTAACCGATACGATGGTATCGGTTACCTGAGTCGCTAGCTTCCTGGACACCCCTGAACGCTCCGCCATCTGCGTCACATGGCGTGGACATTTGGACCGCTGCCTGCTCCGTGCAGCTGCAGCTGGCAGCTGGCTCCGTGTGGTCAGTGCTTGGCCATGCCCGGGTATGGCTGCTGTCCAGAGCGCCGCCCGTGTCCGGCGCCGTGTCCGGGCGCCGCCCGTGTCGACCCCCGATCAGTCTGTGCCGCTCGTGCCGCAGGCTAGCGAGAAGCAGCTGCACCTTTCGTCCCTCATCCACTTCGCCATCGAGATGAAAAGCAAGCTGAAGGAGGTGAACAAACACTCCTTCAACGACTTCCGCCTGCGCATCGGTAAGCTAGCGGCGGCGTCTCGCTGGGGTGGGGGCATTGTTTACAGGCGAGTCGCGAATAACGCGCGCCGCGCGGCTCTCGGGACGGCACCAGCGGCATTACAGATCAGTGTGACATTGCAAGGCCTCAGAGTGACACTTGTAGTGCCGCTGGCAGCGATCGCCGAACGAAAATGATCCTCAAACTCTTATAACATGGTTAAATAATGTGTTGTAACGTGGACGCATTATGGTTCTTTCTTTTTCTAGGCATCTCAGCTGAATGCGATTGGATGCACAGCTAATGGTTCGCTTGAACACTTCATTTCACATGAAGTCATCTATACAGAATTAAGTTGAAGGGAAGTAGATGTGGCATAACCTCAAATATCAAACCAGGGCCCCTCTGATGGTGTATCGGCTAGGACGCCGGACACATCTGACAGGGCCCCTCTGATGGTGTATCGGTTGGGACGCCGGACACATCTGACAGGGCCGCTCTGATGGTGTATCGGTTAGGACGCCGGACACGTCTGACAGGGCCCCTCTGATGGTGTATCGGTTAGGACGCCGGACACGTCTGACAGCGAGCGGGCGACGCTGCAGGCATTCGCCGGCTGACTGGCGGCCACTATCCACCGGCGGGCCCTGAACAGTCTGCTGTGCGCGACTGGACCCAGGGCCCCTCTGATAGTGTATCGGTCCCTCTGATGGGCCCCTTTGAGGGCCCCTCTGATGGTGACGCTGCAGGTACTCGCCGGCTGACCGGCGGCCACTATCCGCCGGCGGGCCCTGAACAGTCTGCTGTGCGCGGCGGGACCCAGGGCCCCTCTGATGGTGTATCGGTCCCTCTGATGGGCCCCTCTCAGGGCCCCTCTGATGCGACGCTGCAGGCATTCGCCGGCTGACCGGTGGCCACTCTCCGCCGGCGAGCCCTGAACAGTCTGCTGTGCGCGGCGGGACCCAGGGCCCCTCGGTCAGCTGACAGCTCAGCTGACCGCGGCTGGTGGCTTGCTGGCCCGCCCGGTGCGGTCTGCACCGACCGGGACAGGCTGGCTGGTGACGGCCTCTCGGCCACACATCGGCTCCGCAGCAGTCGGCTGCCGCCGGAGGCGGGTGCAGGCTCAGGCCAACGCAGCTTGGCGCAGTGGGACGGTGTCCTGTGGGACGCGGTGCCCCGCTGCGTTGGGTGGCACATAATAATGACCCCTTCGTGCGACCAGATCACTTTCCTCGTACGCTCGCGAAATAAATGAAATTTTAGGGGAAATGATCCCAGGGCATATCCACGGGTCTCTTGGTCACGTGACCTTGTTGGGTGGCACGGCCCGAGCTGTGAAGAGGGTGACAGATGTCTGCTCCGGAGAGGTGCCCGCTGGGTGCAGACCAGGTGTTTTCTCAAACCCAGTGACCCGGGAGAAGGCATACAATGAGCATGATGACCAAGCTCGTTGTGGCGAAGACGGTCTCGAAGAGTGGTCGGCCTACAAAAAGCAAACTGAAAGCAGACTCGAAGGCTGACGGCAAAGCAGCACCTGGTGTCCAGGTCGATTGTACAAAGACCTTTGAAAACACGTCTGTGCCGGAAGCCGCTCAAACGGCACCGGCAGCCAAGATCGTTAATAGCTCAGAAGAGCGTGCGGTTGGACTTTGTCCCACCTCACAACAATGCGACGGTCGAGGACTGGAGAAGCGTCCTCCTCACGGACCTCGCTCCTTTTGAATTCCCTCATCTGCCCAATCGGCAGAACGACGCCTTCGGGCGCCCATTGGCTCCGAAGTCCCGATCTCCAAGACGGCGACCCCCCCCCCCCCCCCCTAAAGATTCCGCTGAGGAGATGATGAGCTTCCGCCGGTTGTGTGACCTGCACGTCCTTCCCGAGGGCAAACATCACGGATGAATGCTTCAAGAAGGCGGCGATGAAGAAAACGGCGAAGTTTGCGACGCGCCGGCAGAAGCAGCAAAGCCCGCCATGTCAGGCCAGACTTCTGCGAAACACGTTCACAGGTCATGCTCAAGCAGGATGGCGCTCCTGCACATCGAGCCATCAAGACACAGAAATTGCGTCGTGTCAACTTCCTGGGGTTCTGGGCGAAAGGGCTTCACAACGGCTTCACAACCTGTCTCCGATTGAGAACTTACAGTCCGTCGTGCAGAACAAGATCAGCAAGATCAGACCAGCAGCGTGTGGGGAGGCCCTCATCAGAAACATCCAGTCAGCATGGTGTATGACTTCACATCGGAGGCCCGGGAAGGTGATGTTCGGGATGCTAGATCGCGCGAGGGCGTGAAGAAAACAATGTGGAGGTTACTGCAGCATGGGAACTATGGGCCGCTTGTTGTTCGTTCTCGTGTCACTGGGGTCGAAAGACGGGTCTATTAAATGTATAACGCGTTGTATAATGGAATCGACAGGAGTGTAGTTTCCTTATCAGTTGAGAAGACTCCAGCCCCATGTGGTTCGCAACTCAGAGTTGACTGAGTTATATATGATGACTGGTCAGAGTCCCTGTTTCCACATGGGAACTCTTTGAGTTCACATGTGGATCATTGTGTGGATCAAGGTGGAAATAAAATAATAAAAAACTGCAAGCAGTAGCTTCGCTGTGCGTCATGTGTGAGGAGGACACCCGAATTATTAATAAACTCGCTTCCATGCGGGCTATGTAGGCGCGATATGAAATATCGTGAAATCGGGCATTTTTTCACCCGGCTGCAATTACGGCAGCCCTTCCCCTCGCCCCTGTGGTTGAAATCCACGTGAGGAATTGGAAAATAATACTTGTCAATTGAGGCGGTGAATGCACTTCACCTCCCTCGTGATTTCGGCCTTAAGTCTCTCAGACTGCCTGGGGCATTTCGAGACGATGCTCCCATTGGAGTGAGTGAAACACCAAGGCAATGGCAATTCGTTGTTTTGTAAATATGGTAGGGGTTGATAAATACATGAGTTCACACGACCTTTTACCTAAATACCAACGAAACCATACGTCGTGCGGTTTTTGGGAGAGGAAGGCAGGGATGACAGCAGCTGCACTGTTTAGCACTGTTCAATTTAGTGGATGGTGCATGTCGAATTGATTTGTATGTCGTGTGCTGTTTTGACTTGACGCACCACGGATCCACTGCCTTCTGTCACGAACCACGTTGCACAGATGTCTGTCACAGAGATGCGGAAGCTATTGAGTTATAGGGGGGGGGGGGGGGCGGTAAAGCCTTTGTTGGAAAGTTTAACGCTAGGCTTACGACGGTGCGTGAAAGAAACGACTCAAAGTGTCTGTAAGCCTCCCGCAATCCTGAATTAATTGCCTCGCTTCCATATCCCATGTGACCAAATCCCTTCCCATTATGGTTCAATACGTCACAGCACGTGCGCGCTGTAGGCTGCAGCTGACTTTGCTTGCGTCATGTCAACACGATGCCGACAAAAATGCCCTGTACCGTGATCATCTCTGTCAGGCGCTGCCGTTTCGCCGCGGAATAACAGTGAAGTAGAGTTTACCGCTGTGTCCGCCAGGTGCCAGCTGCGGTCCGCTGGTGGGAGGCGTGATCGGCGCCAAGAAGCCCGTGTTCGACATCTGGTCCGACACGGTGAACCAGGCCAGCCGGATGGAGACGACAGGCGTGGCTGACCGGATACAGGTCACGCAAGCGCTGGCACAGGTCAGGATCGTGGGCCCGAGCCAGGTCACAGTGGTGCTGGCACAGGTCAGGTCACGCAGGTTCGGCGGCGCCCCGCTCGCTGGCGTGAGCGGAGCCGGGCCTGGCGGTCCGACGGGATCACAGCTGTGTGTTCTATTTGTGCCGGCAGTGTTGAGATTGCCCGCTCTTCTCGGCAAATCAATACCTCACAGGATCCTTGCAGCCCCTGTCAAGGTACTCAAAGATTCGCGTGGGTTTGCCAAAAAAAAAAACGGCATGGATTTATAGGATGGATCCAGGATCCAGCGTTAGCAAGAAGGTTGACCTTTCGGCTCCCCATCCCACACTTGTTATGTATATAGCTCTGAGACTGAGAGTTCCGAATTCTATACAACTATGTCAAATTTTGTGTTGATGTTGCGGACATGAATTGCGTGTTTTGAGCATTTCACCAACCAAATTACCAGACAAAAATGCTTAAGATAGCTGTTTTCGAATGTCACGTCTTCTGACTTATCGCACGCTATTTTTTCACGTTTAATTGGGATTTCTGCCCTACGTTCTGGCACGTTGGCCTGCATTTTGTCAGAATTGGTTTGAGATTTGTGCGTCGAAGAGTCTTTTGAATGTAATTCATAGCTTAATAATGGAACTACATAATTAAAAAGAATGGACAAATACGCCACCTAAACTTAATGAACCTAATGAACAATTTTGAAGATCATTCGATGCAGTTCATAGTCTTGCTCTTCTTAGACCTAAAACCCTCTAGTTTTTTTTTAGTTCCGCGCCCGCACAGATACTTAGACAATTTCATGCAGACTCAAGATCATTCAGACACACATGATGCTATAGTTACGCCATTCACATACTGCCACCCCATTGCCAATGTCATACCTGGCGTTTGTGAATACAATTTCTAGTTATTGCGGAGGAAAACTGAATCTGAACTGAACTGAACTGAAACTGAAAACTGTCTCCCAATCGATGTTGTGCAGACTCTGCAATTCTCAATCCCCACTCACGTTCTGTGCAACATAATATAAGAACATTGTAATGAAGTACAAAGTGACGAAGAGCGACTTTGAACCTCACCTCCCATTGCTTACATCTCACATTGTTTCTTACTGAACAACTCATTATGATTTAACTTGCAAGTGATTACCCTTCGAATCCGAAAACTTCTACGTGATTTGTAGAGCACCCTTGCTGTTGTTGATGGCGGGTTCGTCTGCCGGTTCAGGGGTCCGTGGCTCGAATTCCGACCATTTCGTCTGTCAACTTCTTTATAGCAAAGGGAACCTACCATAAAGATTCTCCGACCCTGAGTGGCCAGGGTAGCTTACGCCAAGCCTTGACAGCTTTCCCATCCGAAACGTCAGCGTCTCCCTTGTGAGAAATTTACAGATGACATGCGAATAAGCAAGCAAGCAAGTGAACAGACATGTAAAACGGCCTATAATTTTGTTAAGTGGTTATGATTTCATTTATTTTCTCCCCTTGCTCACTCACTCACTTGTTTTGAATTAAAAGTAGCAATTGAAATGTGCGAAAATATTGTGCAGAAGGCCATATTTCATCGACCTTTTTAGGGTTGAAGGCTATGCTAGGAAGTGAAATATTCGTCTCAAAACTCAACGCTGCTCTTCGAAAGAGGACGATGATGTTATGCAACAGTAAACAAACCGTAACTGGTTGCATATGCACTGATTCATGCTAAGTATGATTGCGCACTATCATAATTGGACGTAGAACTGCTGACATGAAGCGGAAAAAGTGCGACTCACTTTCCCCCTGGCAGTTCCTCGGCAACGCCCTCACAAATTGTAACAAGTCTGCTTGTCATTCCATTCAGTCACCAATGTATGTAACCTAGCTGCAAGCAAAAACGTCCGGCTGTGTGTGTATCCGTGACCACGGTCTTGCGCAGGTCCACCCGGTCCCCACAGGGCTCATCACAGTACGTTGTGACGTACTGTGATGCGCGTCGGCCTCCGGCAGCCAATAGCCCACGGTTGTGTGTATCCGTGACCACGGTCTTGCGCAGGTCCACCCGGTCCCCACAGGCCGCAGCACCAGTGCGTTGTGACGTACTGCGACGCGCATCGGCCTCCGGCAGCCAATAGCCCACGGTTGACCGCTGCCCGGTCAGCACGCTGCCGGCGGTCCAGTAATGAATTGCAGTGAGGCTCGCCACCGTTTCAGATCACAGCGCGAAAAATAGATGGTTTTGTGAGGGCTGTGGTGAGACGAGGACAGCTGTAAAAGTAGAGCGTGACGACACCAGGTTAAAATATTCTGATCCTCGCCAGAGTCCGGATACTGCTGTAATAGTCAGGTCCAGCCTATCGCCGACAGGTTACAATGTTCTGTCCCGCACCAACGTCCGGAGACTGTGGCGTGGGTGAAGTCTCGCAAAATAGGTTGGTGCAAAAATAAGTTATGGGCTGAGCAGGAAGAATGTGTAAACTTATGTCTGAATTACGCCCAAAAGCCTTCCCGGATTGTGCACACTGTTCTCTGCAAGTTGGACAACCTTCACCAAGGAAAATGTACTGCTGGACCATGACATCAAGGTCCGTGGTCAGGTCTGACGTCGCCAGGGTTGCCTGCTCTGACCTGTGACTCAGTCCTGCTGTCCAGGTCAGGATAGGTCTGTCGCTGGCGGGCTGCAGGACCAGACTGTGTGCCCTGTGACTCAGACCTGCTGTCCAGGTCAGGACAGGCCTGTCGCTGGCGGGCTGCACGACCAGACTGTGTGCCCCGTGACTCAGACCTGCTGTCCAGGTCAGGACAGGCCTGTCGTTGGTGGATTGTGCACGACCAGACTGTAAGCCCCGTGACTCAGACCTGCTGTCCAGGTCAGGACAGGTCTGTCGCTGGCGGGCTGCACGACCAGACTGCGTGCCCTGTGACTCACCCGGGCCCTCTGCCGCTTTTGGAGCGGCGCCCCGCTGCCCCTGCCGTGCCGAGCCGGGCTCTCTGTCCAGCCCTGAGCTGACGAGGCATGCCGTCGGCGTGCTCCACACCTCAGCCCTAAGACCCGGTGCTGCACGCTATGCACGGGCCTGTTTTCCTATGCAATACGTGTCCGCTTTGTGCTGCGATTGTTAGCTGGCTGGCTGGGCCTGAAAGAATATGTGATGGTGTGATTAGGAGCTGATTTAGACTTCCTTGTCACACTAAGATTTGACCTTGCTTTTCCTTACGGGTCTTACCGGTGTTTTTGAATAATTCCGTAAGCTGGGAAGCTGAGGGCAATACGCAATGGGTTCGTCGGATCATGCGGCCGTGAAGATGCTATCAGACTGGCGACTACCGCTAGTTGCCATGATCACGCGGTCATGCCTTGTCTGATTCTGGATTTGCCAGTCAGACCACGTTTTTTGTTCGGTCACTTCTGAAGACTTTGCCTGCCGTGTTGCTATGCAAGATAATGCTCTGCCGGTTAACGGACCTAATCAGACGCCGGGGTTTGGCCGGCGGGAGAAATTCGGGACTTCCTTCGGGAATTCGGGAATTCGGATTCGGGAGTGTTCGGGTACTCACTTTCCCGTGTGCTCTGCGATGGTGCTCAGGGACGTTACGTTAAGTTTTCCATTTTGAATGAGCTGGAGTATGTGCATGCATGCATTTGCGATGTTTGCAATTTTAGCGCTGTTCGAAATGAGAAATTGCGACATGAAGAACCGACAGCGCTCTCCGTGTAGTGGCCCATGCGAGGCAGCGAACAGTGTACACGAACGTGACCGGGGTTGTATGCCCTCTCCCCAGATCCTCGAATGCCAGGGGTTCGCGATCGAGGCGCGCGGCATTATCCAGGTGAAGGGCAAGGGCCAAATGGAAACCTACTTCGTGAACGGCTACACGGGCACGTGCAGCCTGCGGCGCCTGTGCCCGACGGTGGACGCCGACGACCCGTCGTCGGTATCCCGCCAGGGCAGCACGCGACGCAATCTGGCCTCGGTGGTGTACGGCATGGTGCAGAACCGGCGTCGGATGACGCTGCGCTCAGGTCAGGTCAGGTCGGGTCAGGGCCCGGCAGGCTCGTGAGCCGGCCGCCGCACGCGCCGCACGCCTCCAGCACGCCGTTCTGTGGACTGCAGCGGTAGGGTGGCCGGGCGGCGGTGGACACCCGACCCGGCCCTGCTCGGCTCGCCCGGCACCGCCGACGAGCGGCGAGACGCTGCCGGCCCAGCCAGCGGCCACGCCTCCGCCAGCAGCTCATGCCGGGCCTGCTTTTTGGTTTTGAGCGCTGGGTTTTGCCAATTTGTGCACCATCTTTTCGTTTTTTATGAATGCACCCGAGGACTGCCTGTGCTGAGCACATTTATGTTGCGAGCAATGCGGAAATACGAGCAGCTTGCAGCTTGCTTTGATAATTTAAAAAGGTTTTGTTCGCTGGAGACCCTCGTTTGCGTGATGTGGTACCTCATTCTCTGACCTGTGTTGGTGTGTTGGTGTGTAGCGATATGTTATCGAAGCTTGTCAAGAACTTCTTCGATAACCGCCATGCATATTGTAACATAGTAGACGTAATCGAAGGAATTCGTGATAGCGCGGACTGGATTATTTCACGCTAGTCATAGAAAGGCTTTTTCCATTATGTTTTCTAAGTGTGGAAATGTATTTTAGCTGATGGATAGTTCGTAGTCGGTGTCGCAGATAAATACATCCAACACTGCACCACAGTGCTATCGCAGATGGCATGGACGTAGTTAAGGATGGACTATGGTACCTTCAGATTTCGCCATCTCGAGTGGGGTTCGAGCTACACGGGACGTGACCTCCTGACATTGACATTTGTGTAGGCTTTGCCGCTAGATGCTTCGCTGCTCGTATGTGGTCCTGCATCATATGGAACTATTTATTGCCCGAGGATGTTGGTGTACAAGATGCGTCATTTTTGTGACAAAACTTTGTAGGCTTTATGACGAGTTTTTGCGGGTGAATCGTTAGACTATGTGCCATTTGTAAAAATCGAAGCTGAAAGCTACGCTACATATTGTTCTTGTATGTGTTTGTATATTGAGCTAATGTCGCCAAAGGCCGCTTTAACCCTCGCCCGTATGTCGAGGAATTCAAAGTTACCGCCCTCACACCCTACCCTAATATATTTCTTCAAAACCTTCCGGGTATCCGTGTGATCGTGTCCAAATTTTAGGAACCTCTGGGACATGTATTTCGCTTAGTTGATACCAGATTTTTAGTAGAGACTTTTTAGTACACCAAATGGTAGGGTTACTGTCGGTGCGCCAGCCGTCGGTGGCCGACGAACAGCCGATCAAGTAGGACGGCACCTACGAAACCCGGCATCATAAATGTTTGCTCAAAACTCATACACCAATATGCGCAACATTAAACAAGACGCATCTCTGTACAAGTTCCGTGCGGAGTTCCATATCCCTCGGCGTGGTAGTGATTGGCATGCATACCTGAAATAGTCCACATTTTCTTAAAATTGCCGTTTGCCTTGTAGGTCAATTATTGGCCTTCTTACACAAAGCTTGCGAAAGACGCGAGGTTTCTCTGAGAACAATCCAATGCTTACTTTCGTGAGGCTTTATCATTCTTAGTTTGCAAATGGCAGGGATTGTATCACTGGTGTATCACGGGACATCGTCCTGCAGGTAACTAAATCGGGGCTTTGGGGCCTTTCAGCCAAGAGTGCTCCATTTCCTTGCTACAGGGGCCCGCTTTTATTCAGAGAACCTTGTATGGGCTCGGGACGCAATTTTGATGCCTCGAGGGCTCGTTGTGAATGATTTAATGACCTTACGGGTGTCTTAACCGGCAAAAGGCATCGGGGTCCTCGACCCTTGAGGACTCCCGTCACCTCCGAGAGGAAAGGGAATATGGCCCCAAAAGTTTCTTCCTGACCTCGCCACTGGGTCGCAACACCCGCCTCCGCCCCCTACAACCCGTTCACGTCATCAAAAATGGCGCATCCGGGCGAGGGTTAATTAATGCACTCGAAATATGCTGGTGGCGGTATCGTTTTCACTGTCTCGTGGTCGCGAACGCTCCCTGTGTGTTCTTTCATTACGCTCACGTCCGATGGACGAAAACATCAGCAAACGTCGCAGAGTCGTGTCCTCGTGCCATCCCCGCGTCGGTCCCGCCGAGCTCTGTGCGCCCCGTGTTCGTGCGGCCGTGGCGGTGCAGTTTCCGGCTGTCATTAGCGGCCCAGGTGCTGGACGGACCTCGGCGCGTGCAGTCCCGTGCTGAAGTGCCGACTGTCCACAGTGTCGCGCCGTCACCAGAAGCGGTCGTTCCAGGCGCGGCGCCGCACGCCGCCGCCAGGCGCCGCCACCTCGGCGCCCGGCAGCCCGGTGCGCTGAGCGGCGCCCACGGGTCCGTTCCGCCCGCTCCGTGCCGGCCCGCGGCGGCGCCGCTGGTGCCCTGCCCCGCCGTGCCGGCCTGTTGTGGCGCCAATACAGACGTGTTTGTGACTGGCCGTGTGTGGGGAGCGGCTCTGGAGCGGCGCACGGTCAACACACCTGCGACGCGCCGGCGAGCGGCGAACACAACACCGCCGCATTCCCAGCCAGCTGGCCCGCCCGGGCCGCCGGTCACAGAGGTCGAGCCGAGCGAACCCGAGTCTCGCGCGGTCCGGGAAGTCCACCGCGTTGGTTGGAAACAATAGGTCCTTATCACATGTGCGACAGCATTGTGTCATTCAGACTGCCCGGCAGCCTGACACAGTGCTGTAAGGGTTTCAGACGCCAGGCGATCTCCACTTGCGTGGCGTGCCTATTACCCGAGCATTGATGCGATTCCGTCCACGGTGAACACGGAGGCCGCTCTCTAACGCTGACGTGAATAGGACAACTCAAGTCACTCACCTCGCCACAGTCGGTCGGTAAGTACGATTGTCGTGATCGAATCGCTGGAACGTACTCGTTTCTCCCACCCCTCGCGCCGTGTAGCTCCCCCAACCCCCAACCCCCTCCCCCGTCGATGCTTACATGCGATCAGGTGGGCGTCAGTTTGACCCTACCTGATTTAATTTTTGAATAACTTCCAAAAAATGGAGCGAAGTAGTGTCACCTTTGGATACCTATAGACGATTTGCAGCAGGTCGAACAGTCAGGCCATGGTTGCCATCGAAAGCGACGCTCAAGAAACATTTCAAGGTTAGGAAAGTCACAACCTGGGGACCTGAACCAATGACCCATATGAGTTCACATTGATTCCAATATACGCTATGAATTTGGTGCATTTAGTTTTCTTACTTGGTGTCTCAGGGAGGGGGAGGGGGGGGGGGGGCAAATGATGCGACCAGAGCCCCCACATCCAACTCGAGCAGTCGTTCTCTACCGACCACCCGGACGCTTGTTAATAGTCGCTCCATCATCCCATCCAAAACGCCTTCAAGTTCTGCATGGCACCGTCGAGCGTGACAGACGACGCGGTCCGAAGAGCACAGCTAACAACCATGTCAGTGGTAGGTATATTGTAGAAATTCAGCGCCAACCATATCACACACACACGGACAGGCACACTGAGACTGGGCGAGTCATCTCGATTGGAGCGAGGCCCGCCCCACGCCCGGGTTCGCCCGGGTCGTGCGACGCCGCGACGCGACGCGACTGACGCGACGCCATCCACTGAGACGAGGGCGGCGACTCGGGCGGATCAGCGAGTCCGGGGCTGTCTGACAAACTGGCCCGGGTCGACGGCAAACGGACGCGTCGGCGCCGGGCACGGTCGGCACGCGGCCATCCGACGTTCAGCCTCGGGTCGGTCAGCTGTTGACCAGGTCGAGTTTGCGATTTCTGATTGGTCGGCCCGCTGAGATGACGCGCCGCTGAGCCCCAGCTGGGGCGCGCGCCGGCTGGCGGGCTGAGCCCGAACGAGGCAGCGAGCGCGAGCGAGATGCGCTCTTCTCTCCGCCGTCAGGTTAGTTGATCATAAATAGTTGAGAACGCTGCATCGGGACTACGCCATCGGCTTGAACAGCCCGCTTGCGAGTACGTATTGATTTGCGGGCCTCGGCGAGGATGCCTGTGTCATTTGTGCACGTGTCATGTGTTGCATGTGTATGTGTACGAACACGTAACTGTCTTACATAGGTTAGACTGAAGACCGGATGCGTGAGACATGTTGAACTTGAAGACCAGCCGATCACACTCTCATTCCACGCGCATAACACTAATGCCATACTTCGATTTGGCTTTCACAAAAATATACCGGGGTAGTACGGTCCATGACTACACAGTTAAATCACAAAGGTCTCCTGTGCGGGGTCCGGGCCTGTCTGCACTGTCCACACGGCGGGACGCCACCAGGCGTGTCTCCAAGCGACGGGTGCGCCGGACGCCGCCGGCCTCGTCCCCATCACAGCCACCGCACGCGGCGCCGGCCAGCTACAGCTAGCATCACATGGTTGCATTCCTCCTAAGGCTAGACATGGCTTGGGGCGGCGGTTCACCGTGAAAGGCTGTGGCTTCGGTCGTGCATCGCGTCGGTGGACTGCGACATGTTGCGGAAGAAGGGGTGTCTGCAAATAGAGCGATAGTGTCAGCAGGAGGACGGGCGGGCTGGAGCGGTCCGCGAACATCCGCAGCGGATTGCCCCCCCCCCCCCCCCCCTCCCCGCCCGGCGGCAGTGGTCGGTGCGCGAACCCAGATATGATGACGGCAAGCGGTAAGGAATTGAGACTGAGACTGAAACTGCCCTCACATGTAAGAGTGCTCTGCGCGATTGCATGGAGGAAATGATCTCAAGGCTTTGCGAACCGGAAAGCGCTGACATGTTTCTATTGTTATGAGAGAAGGCACCAAAGCAGCAGCGAAGCCCGAATTTGGCACGGGTGCACCCGGGCATCCGGAGGTCGCGCCCTTTAGCTGGCGTCGCTGATCCTGGCGGCGCGAACCGCGCCGAATGGCCAGCCGCCGGGAATGACTGAATGCAGGGGGCGGATGTGACGCGGCAGAACGCTGTCATTGTCAGGCGCTGGTCTCAATTCCGTGACCGGTGAAAGTAGTCGGCAAACAAGATCATCAGCAATCATCAAGGTAATCTAAACACACCCATCGTTCCCGATACCATCGGCGTCGTGAGCTTCAGCCAAGGCCCCGACACAAGCAACGGTGTACACCTCCAGACGTGCAGAGGCGCTGCTTGGTGGCGGCGTGACCCCGCGCCAGCCACGGCCCCCCGTGGCCAGGCCTCCGCATGACCTCAGGTCACGGCCTCACCTGAGGGCTTCCTTCAGAGTGATGCGCTGCGTGGGCTCGTACTCCAGCATCCTCTGGATGAGATCAAACAGGTGCACGTGGTCCGTGTCGGTGGACTGCATGTAGCGCTGCAAGGTCAGGACTGGGTCAGAGCGCCGCGGACCTGGCGAGCGCCAGAGGCGCGCGGTTCCAGACGGCCGGCGGCGCGTGGCCGCTCCTGTCACCGGGCGACGCCCCGTCGATCGCAGGCTGGCCGTTCCCATAACTGCTGGGTCGGGTCGTCTTCGACACCACAGCGGCCCGACCGCCTGGTGGTCATACACCGCCTCGGTCCGTTCACGTGACGTTAGCGGAACGGGGCAGTGTATGACCGGGGCGGTGTATGACCGAGGCGGTGTATGACCGGGGCGGTGTATGACCGGGGCGGTGTATGACCGGGGCGGTGTATGACCGGGGCGTTGTATGACCAGGGCGGTGTATGACCGGGGCGGTGTATGACCGGGGCGGTGTATGACCGGGGCGGTGTATGACCGGGGCGGTGTATGACCGGGGCGGTGTATGACCGGGGCGGTGTATGACCGGGCGGTGTATGACCGGGGCGTATGACCGGGCGGTGTATGACCGGGGCTGTATGAACCGGGGCGGTGTATGACCGAGGCAGTGTATGACCGGGGCGGTGTATGACCGGGGCGGTGTATGACCGCGGCGGTGTATGACCGGGGCTTTGTATGACCGGGGCGGTGTATGGCCGGGGCGTTGTATGACCGGGGCGGTGTATGACCGGGGCGGTGTATGACCGGGGCGTATGACCGAGGCGGTGTATGACCGGGGCGGTGTATGACCGCGGCGGTGTATGACCGGGCGGTGTATGACCGGGGCGGTGTATGACCGCGGCGGTGTATGACCGGGGCGGTGTATGACCGGGGCGTTGTATGACCGGGGCGGTGTATGACCGGGGCGGTGTATGACCGGGCGGTGTATGACCGGGGCGTTGTATGACCGGGGCGGTGTATGACCGCGGCGGTGTATGACCGAGGCGGTGTATGGCCGGGGCGGTGTATGACCGCGGCGGTGTATGACCGGGGCGTGTATGACCGGGGCCGTGTATGACCGGGGCGCTGTATGACCGCGGCGCTGTATGACCGCGGCAGTGTGCTCTTCGATGAGCAGAAGTCATGCCGGGCGTGCCCACCTTGAGCGGCTTGCAGTTGTCTCGGACGTAGCGCGCCGCCGACGTCTTCTCGTCCCAGTCCAGACGACCCCGGTAAAAGTACTTGGTCTTCGTCTTTTGGCTCATTCTGAAAGACGATAGCGCCCGTCAGCGGCGAAGACAGCCATGTTCATGTGTTGCTACCTAGCGAAGTCTCGTCATCACCTCACATGATAGGGAGTATCAGGGGACTTCCGGTTAGCGCGCAGCGCGCGTTTTGTATCCCATTTGACGCCAACTTGGTCCTTCACTCCCCTGTAAACGGTGTGCGCGCCCAGAGAGTAAACGCGGCATTTGTGGACGCTGAGACTTCGACCGGACCTGACAGCTGTTAATGCCCGGTATGCCAGCTGTTAATGACCGCTGTTAATGCCCGTCACGAAGCATTTCGAGCACACGAAGCAAGCACAACAGCATTCACAATGACAGTCACGTAAATAGCTCTTTTCATGTTTTTAATTTAGACACACACATAGCACATTCCATCTCAGGATCTCAACGGAAGATCCTTCCACAAACTCAGTCAGGTACTGCATACAATGCCCGTTTGGAGACTGCGGTGGGAAGATTGATAACAACACGCGCCAACAAGGTAGACATTTGTCTTTCTGCTACTCAACAGACGAACCGGGGCACGTGAGCAGAGCGGGAGAATGTGTGTGCTAGTCCCACTTGACCGTCATCCCCCCTCCATCCCCCTATTTCCAACTGGTACAGATTGGTGCACTTGTATGTCTATATATGCTTACTCCAGTGAAAAACAACGAGGTGGGTTGTATATATATATATATATATATATATATATATATATATATCCCATTTGTAAATAAGCATATATATATATATATATATATATATATGTATATGCTTACTCCAGTGAAAAACGAGGCTAGAGGTTTAATAATGCCCTCTGAAACGCCACTTTCAGAAACACCACGCAAAATACCGTGGCGGTGGGGGAGGGGGGAGGGGGCGCGCGGCCGCTTTGGCCCACTCACCTGTACGGCACCGGGCCCAGAATGCGTTCCATCATGGCCAGATGCTCCCGGTTGTCGTGCGTCTGGAAGAGTGTGAAGCCCAAGTACAGCTCGAACAGGATGCAGCCGATGCTCCATACGTCGCACGGCTGCGCCCAGCCCAGCTCTGCGGAAAGAGTGTGGCGTTACTCGGGTGCCCAGGCCGGCACAGTCCCGTCCAGCCCAGAACTGCGGGAAGAGGGTGAAGTCTCCCGGGTGCCCTGGCCGGCGCAGTTCAGTCTCTGCGCAGACGTGGTCGCAGTTCTCTATGGCGTACGCTCGGCTGTTGGAGGGCACGGTAGTGCGCAGCTGAGCCGCGTCCCCCCCCCCTTCCCCTCGCTCCAAGACCCCCCAGTTCACGGTCCTGTCATCCTCGCCGGCTGAGGTCACGCGGAGCGGTGACCTCTGCCATCGGCAGGGTCCCGCCGCTGCAGACCCGGCTCTCCGCGCCGCCTACACGCTCAGCTGCGTCTGGCGTCGGCCCCACCGGCTGCGAGAGAGCAGCCTACCTCGGCCGTCCGCCGCGCGAGTCGGTTACGTAGGACCTCAACACACCTTTTCTGCCTCTGGTTGCGCTACCATAGGCAGCATTGCAAGTTTCTGCGGCTGTGTAACAGGTCTATCGCTCACTTATATACAACTTATGCGATGCCGTTCTTTCCGCACTTTCAATGTTTCAACTGATGCCGACTTGTGTCCCCACAGAAAACCACGCAGCAAGCACGGCTGCTCCGCACACATAAGCCTTGGTCATTGTCCTGAACGTGATCACGTGACGTGGTTATAACGTGACGTTCACCAGCCACACATCACGTTTCTCACAGCAACACACATGCAGACTTGCTCGCATTGCAGCTTTTAACTCCTCGCAGCTGCGGCAAGTCCCGCAGCGTTGCTGACTTCCGCTCGGAGCGGCCTAGTTCGCGCTTCGGCCGCCAGGCGGCTCAGGCTTCGTCCGGGTACCAAGTGAGGCGGGTCCGCGCGCCGCCCGCCAGCCGAATGGGTTCCCGCTGGTAATGTTGGACCAGCTCCTCGAGCAGCCGGAAGCTGGGCTCTGCCGTCTGGGGAGAGCCGAGGGCGAGGCGGCCGTCGTCGCGCACGCACACGGTCAGGTTGAGCTGCCGGCCGGCGTGCATCAGGGTGAGCGCGTACGGCGCGGCCCGCCCGCCGCCGCGGGACGGCCGCACCAGGAACGAGCCGTCGCCGCGGCCCTGCAGCAGGGCGCCCGCGCCGCGCCTGTCTACGGCGTGGAACCAGGGCTGCCGGCGGCTGGCGGCGGACGCCGGCGGCTGCCAGTGACAACCGGGGCATTGCTCGGTCTCAGGCGGCGGCGGAGGTGCCGGCGGCCGGTTCGGGCGCCCCGCGGTCTGGGCGACGGACTTCGGCGGCGGGGCGACGGCGGCCGCCACATGCGCCCTCGGAGTGCACTCTTCGTCGGTGGTCGAGGGGTGTCGCTGGCGCAAAGTTGCCTCGTCCTCCGATCCTGACCAGGCCTCCTCTTCGGACGGCTCGTGGCGTGCGTCACTGGCCGGCCGCCGCTGGCGCAAGGTCGGCTCGCCCTCCGACCCTGACCAGACCTCGTCCTCTTCGGACGACTCGTGGCGCGCGCCGCTCGGCTCGGCCGCCGCCGGCCGCCGCTCGAGCCCAGGCGGGTCGAGCGCGGGACTGTCCGGTCCGTCGAGGGGCGGTGTTGCTCGCGCCGAGGTTTCGGCGGCGGTCAGCGGCGTCCGGTCCAACTCCTGCCGGGCCGCGGACGCCGCCCGCTCCAGGTCCTCGTAGCGCTGCCGCAGCCGCTGCACCACACCACCGTCCATGGCGTCGGTCCGGCCGCTCACTGGCGCTGCGGGAGAGGAGCCGCCGGCCGCGCCGGCCGGACGCTGCTCCACGGTCCCCTGATAGCGCCCGCAGGCCTTCCGGGCTGTGGAGACGACGCGGCGGGCCGCGGGCGCAGCGTCTCCCCCACCCTGGACGAGTTCGGCCGGCGCAGCGCCCCGGTGACGTCACCAGCGAGAGTCGGTGACGTCAGCGTGCGTCGGTCGCGTGGCAGGGCGGCGGCTGCCCTCTGAACGCAAGGTCGGCGGGGCGGGGCGGGAGGCGGTGGCCGCTGATGACGCCGACCACACGATCCGTCATCGGCGTCATCGGGCGGCCGGACGGCGGCAGGAGAGGCAGTGACGATCGCTTCCGCGTCAGGCGCTGCCCCTTGTCTGTCGGTTTGTGCCCCCCCCCCCCCCCTCCCTGCCGGCTGGTGTGTTTGTTTGAGCGAGGTCGGCAGAGCGGCGCCCAGCCACTTGCAGCGATGGGTCAGCGTGTGTGCTCGGCACACAGCCCCCCAGTGCAGACGGCGGCGTCCGTCGCCGGCGGGCGTCAACAGCGTTTCCGCGTGGTCCGCATGGCCGCCGGCGAGGACCCGCTCCTGCGCTGGCCGTGTCGGTGGACGGAGGACGGGGAGCCACACTGCGGTTCACGGCCGAGGCTGAGTGACCGGCCGGCCACCTGCCGGGCGGCGGCGGCGCCTGCTCCCGTGCATAGCTGCACGTAAGCTGCGCCCCACCGGACCTCAGGCGGGGCACATCGCGGCCCCCAGTCAACGGAACAACTCGAGGCCACGGCGCGCAGTCTGGCGCGGGATAAGATCCGCGGACGGGTCAACGGGCGGTTGCCCTCCCATCGCTGGTTCGTGGCTGGCGCGGTCCCTCGGCCGACAACACAGAGCCGGCCTCGAATCAGCTGCCGCCGGCGCCAGGTGGTAATGACCGCTGCGAAGGAGCGGCGCCGCTCCCCTCCTTCTGCTCCCCTCCCCCTCCCCCGGTCAGCGGGTGGCGCTTACAAGGCGAGCTTCTGAGAGGCACAGACCACTGGACTCCGGCGCCACTCCCTCCCCCCTTCCCCCGGTCAGCGGGCAGCGGTTGCGAGGTGTGCTTCTAAGAGACACAGACCACTGGACTCTGGCGCCACTCCCCTCCCTCCGGCCAGCGGGGAGCGCTTACGAGGCGTGCTTCTGAGAGGCACAGACCATTGGACTCTGGCGCCACTCCCAACGCGAGGTCGGCAGGGTTAACGCTAGGCAACGCAGGGCAACGCTAGGTTAGGTTAGGTTAGGTTAGGTTAGGTTAGGTTAGACGGTAGACGACGGCGAAGGCCGCCACCTGCCTCGGACGTCGTACTCACACTCTCACTCAAGCCTGTGCTCGGAACTAACAAATGGCCGGAAGATTGCAGTTGGTAATTGGCTCACTCGACCGACCATGGAACGAGCATTGTACGCAAGGGCGCACCCAGGTGTCTGTGGGTGAGCTCACGCAAGGCGAACAGCTTGAAGTCCAACATGACGGTCAGTTTGACGGTGTTTGCTGCACTGCGAGGGTCAAAGTTCACATTGTGCTCGCCCCAACTTTCTGCCAGGCTACGCTTCCGAGTTTTACCCCGAAGCCAGAGAGTGCATTGACAGTTGATTTTTAATATGTGTCTTAACTGGCCTTTCATCCAGAGACTGCCTGACACATGCACTTTTCATTGCAACTACAGAGCGGGCAAATGCATTCAAGAGAAAATGATTATACTTTTAGGCCGCGTAGAAAGGAACAGGTACTTTATCTTGGTGCATAACGATACACTTTATTGCATTAAATTGGAAATAATGAGAAACTTGGGCTTCCCTTTCCTTCACCTTCGCCATGAAGAGGCAAGATTACCCCGCTGAGGTCAGATGTCCAATGACATTTGTATGCACGTGCAATATAAATCACCTGGCGGTCTCTAGGCTATCAAGAAACTTTCATGCAATGCTATTCAGTCGATAGTGCTATCAAGTGAATACAGTTGCCAAGCAAAAGGAAGAGCTTGAATCCGAGTGAGGTGGAGCACTACACTTGCTTCTGTGGCGGATTTCAGTGCTTCTGCACGGCAGTGTGCACACACATATCATGACACGCGATACCAGGCAGACTTTACCAAGTGAGTCAGCTCCTCTCCCAGATCGAGCAATCTGGCCCGCCTGACTGGTAACGCCTGCTCGTGGTACGTGTCTTATCGCGGCCGGCGGCCGGCTCGACCACCCGGGCGCCCAGGCTTAATCCGGCCCGCAATCCCTTCACCAGGGGGGGGGGGGGGGGCTGGGATCCCAGCGGCGCCAGGTAGCCGGCGGTCCTCCAGCTAAGCTGTACAGCCGTCCGCCGGCCGAGTGGCGCGGGCAGGCCGTTACTCACCGAGCAGCACCTCCGGCGCCCGATAGTGGCGCGTGGAGACCACCGTGCTGTGGTGCTCGTGGTCGAAAGTGGCGCTGCCGAAGTCGATCAGCCGGATCTCCGAGTCCTTCACCACCCGCAGGTCGCGCTTCTGAAAGGAGGTGGGCGGTCTTTGTGAGCGGCGTGTGCGGAAGGCGGCTAGCCCCGGCGCCGTCCGATCGAGACCGGTCCGGTCCCGGTCCCGAGCGGGAACCCGAGCCGGGACTGGACCGGGACCGGTCGGAGATCGTCCCGATATCGGGCCTGCCGGCGCCGGCCGATCGCCCCAGGCGCTCACGACGCCGCGGCCGGCGCGCCCAACGTAGCGGATCGCCTCATCACGCTAATTGTCTCATCATGCGGCGTCTCGGCGGCGAGCCCGGCATGGCTCTTGCGCTGGAGCGACGGGCTCGCCCAGCCACTCCGGCAGAGGGCCGGCCGGACCGGCAGCCCTCGGTGGAAGGGTCGGCCGGACCGGCAGCCCTCGGTGGGAGGGTCGGCTGGACCGGCAGCCCTCGGTGGGAGGGTCGGCTGGACCGGCAGCCCTCAGAGGGAGGGTCGGACGGACCGGCAACACTCGGTGGGAGGGTTGGCCGGACCGACATTCCTCGGTGGGAGGGTCGGCTGGACCGGCAGCCCTCAGAGGGAGGGTCGGACGGACCGGCAACACTCGGTGGAAGGGTCGGCCGGACCGACATTCCTCGGTGGGAGGGTCAGCCGGACCGACAGCCCTCGGTGGGAGGGTCGGCCGGATCGGCAGCCTTCGGTGGGAGGGTCGGCCGGACCGGCAGTTCCCGGACGCTGCGGCTGGTGGTATTTCACCGTGTTCCGTGTTGACGAGCGTGTGCCAGGCCCGTCAGAAGCGAGCTCAACACATGGTTTATGACCAGCCATGACAGGTGTGATGAAGTCACTAATGCAGTGTTGCATGTAGACCTGCCAAATTGTATTGTGATTCCCTAAAGCGACGCCACCGAACGTTGAGGGCAGCCCTCGGAGGGAGGGTCGGCCGGACAGACAGCCCTCGGTGGGAGGGTCGGCCGGACCAGCAGTTCCCGGACGCTGCGGCTGGTGGTGCTTCACCACTGACGTTCCGTGTTGACGCGCGTGTGCCAGGCCCGTCAGAAGCGAGCTCAACAGATGTTTATGACCAGCCATGGCAGGTGTGATGAAGTCACTAATGCAGTGTTGCATGCAGACCTGCCAAATTGTATTGTGATTCCCTAGAGCGACGTCACCGAACGTTGAGGGCCCGGCCACCCGCTGGCAGTTCAGCGTTTATCATTGACAGCCGCAAAATTAATCTGACGCGGTGTTT